TTTAAATTGGGACAGCGTGTCACTCTGTCACTCAGGCTGGAGTGCAGTGGCATGATCACAGCTTACTGCAGCCCCAACTTCTTGGACTTAAGAGATCCTCTTGCCTCAGCCTCTCGAGTAGCCGGGACTATAGGTGAGTGCCATCAAGCCCAGGTAATTTTTGTACTTTTTGTAGAGATGGGGTTTCACCATGTTACCAGGCTGGTCTTGAACTCCTGGGCTCAAGATATTCTCCTGCCTTGGCCTTCCAAAGTGCTGGGATTACAAGTGTGAGCCACCATGCCTGGCCTCAAAATCCATTTATTGAGAAAATATGTTGTACCATGGGCTTTCCTAGACTCCATGTTCTTCCCCCTTTTATCAGCAGAGACAATGACTGGGAGAAAGGTTAGATGGACAGAGGAGGAATCCATGACACCAACTGCAGCAGGGTGGGGTGGGGTTCTTCCCACTTACTTCCCCCTTCCAAGTGTCTCCTCAGGAAGAGAGGCCACAGGCATCTTGGAGGAGCTACCCCTGACCATATAGGAGAACTGGACCTTGGTGTAAGTAATGGACCATGGCAGCCAGGGAGGGGCTCCCCCAGCTCTCCATTCAGCAACAGATTTGCCTCTCAGCAGCAGGTGGGGCAGTTAGTAGATGCTCTTTGACTGCGGGATCCACCCCAGCTTCTGAGCTAAAGCCCTGCTCTTCTGGGGCAGCTCCCAGCCAATAACTCAGGGTGAAAACGGCATCACAGGGACAGGCCACTTGTGCCTGACACAAAAGCTCCCTCATGGGCAGTCTCAGCCCCAGAGCGCCCATATTGCTGTGCCCAACGCTTTGTTCGATCAGCACTGAAGTTGGCAGCTCTCCCTGCCTGATTCTGTTTCTAGCCCTCTTATCTTTCACAGGACCTCAACCCCAATAAAGCACTTGCATTTCCAACCCCAGCTCAGTGTCCGCTTCCCAGAGGACCCAACTGACAAAGACTACCTGTAAAACAAACTGCAATCTATTCACATCTCTCCACCACCACCAACTCCAAGTCCTCATTCCTTGGAGAAGCACCTGGATGGTGGCATACCCCTCAGTTGAGCCCCTCACCCCGCTTCCTCTTGTTTTTGTTTGTTTATTTGTTTGTTTTTGTTGTTCTTCTTTTTGAGACAGGGTCTCACTCTGTTGCCCAGACTGGAGTGCAGTGGCGCCATCTCGGCGCGCGCCACCACGCCCAGCTAATTTTTGTATTTTAAGTAGAGACAGGGTTTCACCATGTTGGCCAGGCTGGTCTTGAACACCTGACCTCAAATGATCCACCTACCTTGGCCTCCCAAAGTGCTGGGATTACAGCCATGAGCCAGCGCACCCTGCCCTCTTTTATCGCTTTGTAACCCAGTCTCCAGACAACTGCCAGAGTGGTCTTTTAAAAACACAAACTGAGCCAGGTGTGGTGACTCACACCTGTAATCCTAGCACTTTGGGAGGCCGAGGTGGGTGGATCATGAGGTCAGGAGTTCAAGACCAGCCTGGCCAACATGGTGAAACCCTGTCTCTACTAAAAATACAAAAATGAGCCATGCACAGTGGTAGGCGCCTGTAACCCCAGCTGCTCAGGAGGCTAAAGAAGGAGAATTGCTTGAGCCTGGGAGGCAGAAGCTGCAATGAGCTGAGATCGCATCATTGCACCCCAGCCTGGGTGACAGAGTGAGATCCTGTTTCAAAAAAAACAAAAACAAAAACCAGGTGAGACTGCTTTCCTGCTTACGTCCTCCAGTTGGGCTTCGAATCAGACCCACTCCCTTGCTGGAGCGTGTAAATCTCTACATGGCCCCCACCCACCTGTCCAGCTTTCTCCCTCCCCTACATCTCACTCTGCTCCAGCCCCACTCTGTTCCTTCTGTTCCTGAAACATACCATGCTCCTTTCTGCCCCAGGGCCTTTGCACTAGCTGTTCCCTCTGCCCAGAACACACCATCTTTCCCCAGACTTCTGCATGGCTGGTTTCCCAGGTCATTTAGGTCTGAGCTCCAACGCAGGCCTTTTCTGACCCCCTTATGAATAATGCCCACCTCCCAATACCCCCTTCCTACTTCCTGTAACTTTCTATAACATCACTTTAAAACTTTTCTTTGTCATTCTCATCATTATTGGAAATTAACTTGTTTACTTAGTTATTCATTCGTTTACCACCAGCCTCCCCACTGGAATATAAACTGTGTGAGCCTGTCTTGTTCCCAGCTCTCCCCAGTGCTTGGCACTATGCCTGGCACAATGTAGGTCTCAAAACATATTTTCTAAAATGAATTCCTATATTTGTTATATGTGGCAGAATTCCCTTACCCTAAGAATGGAATGAAAGTGAAGAAAAAAAAAACAAAAAACTAGGAGTCATGACAATTCAGAGGGAAAATATAGGAACTATTCCAGTTTTAGGGAAGTTTCCCCTAGAATACTTCCCTGGCCATCCCTTGAGGAATCCTGTGTTAGGATTAAGGAGGATCCCTCCCAGAACCCCGCTCTGTCTTTGGGCTTTGGGACCTCTCTGTCTTCTAATCCTTCCTCTGCCTCCAGCAGCAGCATTAAGAAACTACTTCAGCAAACATTCACCGAGAAGCTGTCCTGGGCAGGCTTCATGCTGAATGCTGGGATAGAGATGGGTCAAGGAAGAAGGGAGAGGCTGGGCGTGGTGGCTCATGCCTATAATCCCAGCACTTTGGGAGGCTGAGACAGGCGGATCACCTGAGGCCAGGAGTTGGAGACCAGCCTGGCCAACATGATGAAACCCTGGCTCTACTAAAGTAGCCGGGCATGGTGGCAGGCATCTGTAGTCCCAGCTACTCAGGAGGCTGAGACAGGAGAATTGCTTGAACCTGGGAGGTCGAAATTCCAGGGAGCTGAGATCGTGCCACTGCACTGCAGCCTGGGTGACAGAGTGAGACTCTATCTAAAAAAAAAAA